TACTTTTATCCAGAGAAAACTGCAACATACAGGCCATACAGGCCTACATTTTTCGATCGAACCCATGATTCTGATGAGCAACATTTTACACATTAAAGTTTATAAAGTTTATAAATTTTTGTTGTTTAGAATTTTAAATGAGCTCAAAATATTATTATCAAGTAACTACATAAATCGCTCACCCTTTGATTAACTATACATAAGGGAGTGGAAACGGCAAGTGAATACATGAATCAGTGATCCTCTGCAGCCATCTACTGGTCATAGTGGTAATGTCATGTCATGTTCATTTTATAAGTGTTTGTTTTCAACTAGGTAGCAGTAATCTTCTGCTTAATGAATAAATATATAAATAAATATGCAGATCTTCTTTAATGTGAATTTTACATTTTGTTTACATTTTGTGTAAATATATACAAAAATATGCATAATTTAAAAAAAAAAGAACATAAATCTTTTATGTTTTATAACTGCTTAACTACAGTGTGACCAATATATGGCCATCAGGAGTTCATGGGGGTATTATACAACGCTTGATTTTTGCTGTGGCATGAAAAATTGGGAGAGGGGGGGTCGCATCTTTGACACTTTTTTCACCATTGACTTCCAGAAAATTTTCTGACGGTTACTGTTAGGCAGTGCTGGGAAGGTTACTTTGTAAATGTAATAGGTTACAGTTTACAGGTTACCCTATTTAAAATGTAATAAGTAGTGTAACTATTTCAATTGCTTTATGAAAGTAATGTAACTGATTACATTGGATTCCTTTTTGATTACTTTTCTAAATTTAAAATATTTTCTGCTGTTAATCATTTTGAAACATTTAAAGCAGGCAGGGTTAACCTTACAGTAGAACTCAACACTGATTATTGGCAGACTTTCAAAAGCCTGCATCACTTGAATTAAGATTCAAGAAGAAGAGAGCACAGCCACTGTTTTTCAAATCAAATCTTTTCACAGCTATGACAGGAAACACTGGCATCTAACAATGCCTTGGGGAAAAAATCAGTTAATCTTAAAGCATATGCATAAACCCAAATAGGAAATTAAACAGTTATCGAATAAGCATGCATCTTATTCTGTGTTCTAAACTCCTGAAACATTGGTGCTTTGTATTTTAGAGCAGTCACTGCAATTAAGAAATAAATGAATCAAATCTGTTTGTGTGAAAACCCCCTTTGTAATTGTTAGCATTTTCATAAGTAACTGTAGGCTAATTTAATTACACTTTTTTTTTCTCAGTAACTGTAACAGATTGCACTTACATTTATTTTGTAATTAAATTACGTAATTCCGTTACATGTAATTAGTTACTCCCCAACACTGGTGTTGAATATACAGAATATATGGGGAGTACAAACACTGATCTATAGTTGCCACCCCTCATTCTGCTCTTGCCCCCTCTTTGCCACCCCAAGTATAAAATCCTGGACACGCCCCTGCACTAGAGGACTTATTTTTCTGATAGAATGTTACAAATCTTGCAAAAATGTACTTTGAAAATCTCCATTTCAAACTGGAATTTCATAAAGTGCCATAACAGGACTGATGTGTGCGGCACATGTGTGCGGCACAGGCAGGCTCAGATGTCACTGTCTGAATGAGCGGTTTCTTGGCCCTTACCTGACGTGGTTCTGTGTATGTTGATGGTGGAGTTGAATTCTGGACTTCCCTGGTCCAGGTAAATGATGGACTCTATAGGCAGCGGAGCGGCGCATTCGGCTCCATTAAAAGTGAAGTACCAGCGCTGGCAACAAGCTGTCTTACACTTCAGCCTGAGTGAGCCGCTGAACAGCACACGGAGAGCACTGTCTGCACGCTGCTTAGTGAACGTACACTCCTGAGGACAGGAACACAGGAAGAGCTGATGAATCTGATGGCTTGTTTACAACACACCTGCTCGAAAGAAGCACATAAACCAACCATATTCTGCAGAAAAATACTGTGCTATGGTGATGGTCTAAGATGGTATTACCAAAGTGCTTTGAGTCTTACCATAGTTTGGAATGATTCCCAAGAGGTTTCCATCCCTTTCTATGACTTTTCCATACATTATGATAATTACTAAAACAATTTTATAGAAATTGCACTCATTTTTTTTGGCAAAAAACTGAGAAAATGTTTCAATATTGAGAACTGACTTTATTTATTTATTTGAATTAGAAATTTGAAACTGTTTTTCCTCACCTAAAAGCATGGTATTACCATGGTACTTTAAATGTAATATTTTTTTATTTAAAAAACAAACAAACATGTAAATACTATGATTTTTACATAAAGTACCATGGTACACAGAAAAAAACAACAATCAGAAATGAGTAAACTTCACCAATAATTACAAAGAAACAGCAGATCACACATTGAATTAAATGTGAAATTTTGAAATAGACAGACTGAAATTTTCTTATAAATTTTGAAATCAAATTTTTTTTTCTCTGTATTTTCTTTTGAAACTTACTCCAATAATCTTTGTTTTATTTACAACTTCCAAAAATAATTTTTACAGTGTACCAATGTTGTTACTGTTGACTACAACTAAAAATTGTTTATAAGTATGTAATAAAGCTGAACAAAAATACATATGAAAAACTTCAACGTAAAAAAACATAATTACTTAATTTTACTTACTAAACTTAAAAAAATAGAAATATCGCCTTGACAACTAAATAAAATATGTTTAAGTATTGCTCAAACTATAACTTAAATAAAAATGAAAGCTACATAAAATATTTCTGAATAAAAGAAAACTAATATGACAAAAGCACATAAAAATTACTTAAACTAAAATTAAAACTGAAAATTTTAAACTAAAAGCTAATACCAGTTATTAAGTATATAAATAATAAAGCAATTTTTTGTCCTTTTTTTGGACATGGTATTCTCTTAATAAAGCATTTTCATCATTGTGACCTTACTGTAATTTTGCCCAGGTCAATGCCATAGTTGAGAGAGTTCCAGGCACATTGCTTGTAGTTGGGTTTCCACGGCTCTTCAAACCTTTCTGTCACACATTCACCCTTCTCCCCTTTTGCACCATCCCGGCCCGGTACTCCGGGAGTACCTGGAATTCCATTCACTCCTGGATTTCCATCCCTCCCCTGGGTGCCTGCTGGACCCTGGATGCAGCTGGAATACTGAAAACATACAGCATTCAACAGGAGCTTTTTGGCATGATATTAAACAACATATTTTGTAGCTTGGAGTACCTGTAGGAAACAATCTCATCCAACTCTAGTCAATGTAATGCATCTGGAATGAGCTTTTATGGTGTGGTCTTTGGTTACTTATGAAAATACCATGCTATGGCTAATACTTAATGTTTTTTGCACAATGTTGCTTGCTAATGGATATGGAGAAGTAGCCTAGACTGGGACGCTGCCCGCATTAAGCCTGGCTGGATGGAGACTGAATCATCTGTCCATTCAGACTGTCATTATGTGATTCATTATCTGATCACACAGTTGTTCACAGAGTCTCAGATAAACGGCTTAAACGCGGATACGGCATTCTTTGACAGTATGATAATCTTAAAACATGCAGGGTTATACTTATTAGTCGCGTACTAACCTGATTAACCAAGCAAAACGCCCTATGAATTAATAAAATAACACATAGTATTCATATTTCATGGTATTAGATGATCTGTTAATTGCGTTTAGAGGGGTCATATGATGTTGCTAAAAAAGAACATTATTTTGTGTATTTCGTGTTTATGCGGTTTAAAGCTCAAAAAACACATTATTTTCCACATACTGTACATTATTGTTTCTCCTCTATGCCCCGCCTTTCTGAAACGCGTCGATTTTTACAAAGCTCATCGGTCTGAAAAGCGAGGTGTGCTGTGATTGGCCAGCTATCCAGTGCGTTATGATTGGCCGAATACCTCAAGCGTGTGACGGAAATGTTACTCCCCATAACATACTGTGATGCCCTGTCCAGCCGGAGCGACGATTCAAAACCATTAAAACCCATTATAAACTAGGCATTTGTTGCATCCAGTGGGGACAAAATTACGGATTATAATGACATATAAAATGAATATTTGGGTTGAACTGTTCTGGAACAGTGTTGTAAATACAACTTTACCAGTGATTTCTAGTCGTGTCCTCTTTTGGAAGACCAAACAAAGTAACGTTTGTTTAAATCGCATCATATGACCCCTCTAATTACATTGCATATTTGAGCTGGGTTTTCTTTGCATTTACAGCATTTTGACCAGCAGGCGTCACTAGCGCGTGGCGTTTCAAGCGATTCGAAAAAGTGAATCATTTTGCGAAGCAATTAGTTCAATTGATTCAAAGTTTCCAAAAGCTTCGTTAGTTCAGTAGACACGAAAGCCACTAAAGTAACAAAGATATATATATATATATAAAATGTAAAATAGCGTTTCAGAAAGCTAAATTAGTGTTCAAAACAATGTATTACATTTCAAGACAGAAAATACGAAAGGTTTTTAAATTGTGTGTTTTTTTTTTTACACATTTACACAGTCATGATGATGCTAGGGTGCTGTGGGCGGTTTCCAGGGTGTTGCTATGCGGTTGCTAGGGTGTTCTGAGTGTTATGTTAGGGCATGTTTACACTTGGCAGGTTTGGTTTGATCGAACTTTGTAGGCTATAGGTTCGGTGTTAAAAATGACAGTGTGAACACTAAGCGAACCAGGACTAAATGTAGCCTAACATTTTATTTTTTTGGTCTGGACCAAAAGAACCAAGAGAACTGACCTACAGGTTCAGTTTTGCAAAATTAGCAATATAGCCAACCCAAGACAAAACTGTAAGTCTGATCACTTAGAAAAGTAATAGCACAACAGCCATCAACAAACCATGCTATATTAGGCTATTTTTGTTAACTAACTAAAAACTATAATTGTTACAATTGAAATAAAAACAATACACTTTTGCATTGACAGGAAATTAATGGTAGCTAAATAGAAATATTTAAAAATATATATTTTAAGAAATAATAAAAAGTACAAAGGCACAACTATATTACTAAAATTGCAATTAAAATGAAAACTAAAGTTAAGAAAATAAAAGCTTACTCAAAATATTATAAAAGCATATAAATAATAGCCTACTAAAATTCATATAGACTAAGTGGCACCAACAGCTTAATATTTGCTTAATAATATATGCACTATGGTATTATGTTATGCATGCATTTAATCATCTACTAGAACTGGGAAAAACCTCGTATTAACGCCGCAGAGCAAACATGCATTTTAATGAACATTCACTGAGGAGGTGTAATGCCACTGATGGATGAGAAACTTCGCCAAAATGCCAGGTGGAACAACCAGCGGGTTCTCCGATCATGCAGAAAAAGCGCATGCATAATAGGCTATTCAGAGTTTTGTGCAAATGCGTGCTCATTCGCGAGGCAGTGACGCGCCAAACATTTACATCTCAATAAGAAAGCGGCTTCCGAGCGCACGAAGCGATGTCATCGCCGTAACCCAACCTCGTCTAGCGCGAACAATACACGGCTCTGAGCGCAGGAGGTCTGGCTTTAGCATTAAGCAGCTCCGCTGTCACCGGAGTCTCTTCTGCAAGAGTAATGCAGATTCTAATCAGCATGCCTGCGAGCAGAGAGCTGTGGAAATAAGGGCCCTTAAATAGGTAATAAATCTTCCCGATACAGGCCACGGGCAAGCCAGGGAGTGAAATGTATTCATATTTATAAGCTTGCAGTGCCGTGGCCGAGCTTAAGCCTTCAGTGCGCTTGGCTCCGCTGCTTTTTATTGACAGAACACACCTGAGTGTCCTGCAAACAATGCCTTGCGATGCACACAGAATCATTTCCCCCGGTGGCCAGTCGTGCCAGGTTTATTAGTGATGCTTCCCCAACTGGTCTCAATGAGAAATTCACACTCCATATAATCTACCCACCGCGAGCAAATTCAAAAGTATTACCGTGCCTGTTTTTCATTACAGTGATGAATCTAGTGGAATGCTTACCTGATACAATAATTTACAATAAAACACTTTTTTTGGTGATAGAGTAGCTCTGATCCAGGAGCTAAGACATTTTCCCCAGTCCGTGATCAATAGAGCCCTGGATATGTTTTATTCCACTGATTATAGTTTATGATAAACCGCCCAAACTAATTTGTTGTAGAGTCAGCACCTATTCAGCACCTTGTGGTTTATGCTAGGCCATGTTGGTGAGACAAAGCTTGTTGTTGGCTAAATGTCATTTTGAGAGCAGGAAGTAGGCTATATTAACTTTGTTTAGCTTGTAACAATATGTCTCAAAACTTTATGATACAATTTGTTTCTTCATAAAACAAATTTGGAGAAATTTCTCGACAATGGTCGGTAATGGATCCCTCTGCAGTGAATGGGTGCCGTCAGAATGAGAGTCCAAACAGCTGATAAAAATCACAATAATCCACAAGTAAATCACACGACTCCAGTCCATCAACGTCTTGTGAAGTGAAAAGCTGAGTGTTTCTAACAAATCCATCAAGATGTTTTAACTTAAAACTGTCGCTTCTGGCCAAAATACAAGCCCATAATCCAAAATAACGCTTCCTCCAGTGGAAAAAGTCCATCCCTTGTTGTCCTCTTACATTAATTCACCAACATACTGTATTTGTTTAGAACTGTTTTGGACTGTTTTTACTTATCTCAATGGTGGATTTGTTTATTATAAACATTCAGCTTTTTCACCTCACAAGAAGTTCATTGATGGCCTGACGGTGAGTATACATTTTCATTTTGGGGTGAACTATTCCTTTAAGTCAATAACAGTGTTGTAATTGTTAACTAAAATATAAAAGCTAATTAAGAACATTAATAAATGCAATAACAGCACTGTGTATAATTAATAGTCAAATAACACAGAAACAAACTATGCAAACAGAGACATACATGAATGCTTGGCTAACATTTTGCAAGTGTTTTGACCACCTGTTGAACAAAGTCAACATGAAATGTCATAGTATTACTACCACTGTGTTGATGAATGGGAAGGGCTGAAAAAATAAGAGGCATTTGTGCTCTTCAGCTGAAAATAGCTATTTTAGAGGTGGTGCAAGTTGTAACATTTTGATTGCGAAAACAAACATTTAGTTAATTGAAATAATGTACACTGACGAATCATTCACAATGAGACCAAGAACTTGCATTAAAAACGAACTGGCAATAAAATAAACAGCGACAAAATATGACCTTGCGTTATTGAGGCGTTATCAAACTTTAGTACTTAAGGGGGCACTAGAGTCACACACTAATGTGCTAATGGCTTCTATAGTACCACTGAGAATTGCAATGCATACTTGCATCATGTTATGAACTATGGTTGGACATTTAGGCATCTCAACAAAACATGAAATCAAGAAATTGTAACAAGACGCATTGGCGTTCACATACTTGCATATGTTTCAGGCCTTAAAAGTTCAATCACATCTCTACAGTCTGAAACATGATTCTACACCTCGTAGAATGAATAACTTTGAGTCCACTGAGTATTGTTATGGTTTGCTGTAGCTTGAGAACGGGAATATCAGACACGCATGGATTGCTGGCTATGTCTGGACTATTCAAAGTTAATACTTTACTAATAAACATGCAGATGGTTCCACTGGCAAGATTGTTGAATAAAATTATGCAAAAGATGAATATCAAATTTGTCTTGAATTGGACCTCGGGAGATTTCAAAGCAATCAAGGAATGAAATGAGGCAAGGAATTTTTAACAGCTAACAGCTGTATATTCAATTGACATTCAAGAGACAGTGACGATGCTCAAACTGGAATACTAGCGTACTGCATACTGTGCATACTATTCAAATACTATGTGAAACTGAGCGTATTACGCAGTGATAACCATTTCAAACTGAAGTATGCTGCGTTGTTGACACATGATCACATTTTGGTGATCTTTTAAGTTTATTTAGCATTTTTTTGCAATCAACATTGAGTAAAAAAATTAATAAATAAAAATAAAAATAAATAAACAAAAATCTAAAATTGCAGCTTAAGTTAAAGGGGTCATATGATGTTGCTAAAAAGAACATTATTTTGTGTATTTGGTGTAATGAAATGTGTTTATGCGGTTTAAGGTTCAAAAAACACATTATTTTCCACATACTGTACATTATTGTTTCTCCTCTATGCCCCGCCTTTCTGAAACGCGTTGATTTTTACAAAGCTCATCGGTCTGAAAAGCAAGGTGTGCTCTGATTGGCCAGCTATCCCGTGCGTTGTGAAGGCTAGAGTGAGCGGAGGCCTGTGGGATAGAGTGAGCGGAGGCCGGCGGGATAGAGTGAGCGGAGGCCTGTGGGCTAGAGTGAGAGACGGCCGGCGGCTAGAGTGAGCGGAGGCCTGTGGGATAGAGTGAACGGAAAAATTTAAATCGCATCATATGACCCCTTTAAAGGAATAGTTCACCCCAAAATCACCCCAGGCAATCCAAGATGTGTTTGTTTCTTCATTGTAACAGATTTGGAGAAATTTATCATTACATCACTTGCTCACCAATGGATCCTCTGCAGTGAATGGGTGCCGTCAGAATGAGAGTCCAAACAGCTGATAAAAACATCACAGTAATCCACAAGTAATCCACACCACTCCAGTCCATCAGTTAACAACTTTGGTGAGCAAGTGATGTAATACTAAATTTCTCCAAATCTGTTACAATGAAGAAACAAACTCATCTACATCTTCGACGGCCTGAGGGTGAATACATTTTCAGACTAACTAAACAGACTAACCTGTTTCAGCAGTTGTAAACTGAGTGCTTTAACAGGTGTTACTCCCAATAAAGAGAATCTAAAACACAATTCTAGTTAGTTTCCTGCAAACGGTTTAGAAGCAGTGCACTCTTAGTGGGCTTTGAACAGAGTTTAAACAGCTTTGTCACATCCTTTTTAGCAATCAATCCATTGTTACCGCTTGGTTAACTGGTCCCTGTGACTCACATTCTTCTTGCATCTACAAAAACGAATCTGGCATTGTTCAATATTGGCAAAGGCTTTAGTCAATAAGAAAAACTTTGCACTGTCTGCAGGAAATCACACTTATAATATTGATTTTTTTTTTGAAGAGACAGAATCAGCCAGCCAATTATTTTTTTTGTCACTCATACTATACGCTTAAAATTGAAGTGTCTGATTTTATGACCTCTTTCAGACAGAACTTCTGTAAGAGGACAAACCTTCCTATGAAAAAGCAAAGCGCAGATGAGACCTCTTTAATAATTGTTGTGGAGAAAAAATTATTTCTCTCGAGATGAAAACAAATCACATTTCTCCTTTAGAGGTTCAAAAGAGATCTCAAACTGTGCAAACAAAGTGTGCAAAAAGTCAGTAATCTCAGTATGATCTCGAACCTTTTCATCAAATCTTTTCCCAAAACAGATGATCTGAGCTGCTATGCAGATTCCTTTTAGCTCTATACTCTTTAAAGTCAACACTTGCCTGGAATTTTATGAGAAACATCTTAATTATTAAGTGAAACATAATTTAGTCTCGGAGCAATTAAAGTTTCCTTTGGGTTTAAATGTGTTACATAAACACACAAAAAAATGAAATGTAAATTTATCTTGCCCTTTGAAGTTCATGTTTTACAAGAAAAAAAAGAGACAAAAATAATACAATAAATACTTAAAGACTTACTTTCTCCATGTAGTCAACATCCTTCTGTCGTAGACCTCTGGTTTTTAATTTTTCTGCTTCGTAACATGTAAATAATAAGCAGGAGATGATCAATACTCGTGTCTTCAAGTGTCCCATATTTGAGCTGAGCGGTTAGAGAAGACAGGGCTGCTTAGATCTGTTGAGCTCTAGACAGGACTGAGAGAGAGAGAGCGAGAGGTGGGGCTGATGTGATCTCTCTAGGGACCAATTATTCCCAGACCGCCGGTGAAACTTCCCTCCACATGTAGAATCGGATTATAATGGGTCATGATATGACATAAAACAAGAATCAATACTTCTGATGGTCTTTTCAGTGGTTTCTCAGATCCTACTGATGTTTTGCACAGGTGAGATGACTTCTCACCCTTTTTTTTTTGTCTTTACTCCTTGTCCAATTATGTTGTAATTGCCTTTTTATGTAACGCAGAGCACTCTGAAAAAATGTTTTTGTCCCAGCTGAAAATGTTGCATTTAAAGGGATAGTTCACCCACAACAATTCTGCCATTGTTTACACTCCAAGTCTGGAATTTTTTTGTCATCCATAGAACATAACAGGAAGTACTGTACTTTGCTGAGTTCACAGTGCTGTTGACATGCAGCAAAGGAAAAATCACAATAAAAGCACTATAAAAGTAGTCCTGTGCACTGTATTCATGAAATCAAAGGCGATATTTGCTGAGATGAAAGATGAAAAAAGAAAATTAAATTGAACTTTTTTTTGTTAATAAAGGAATGGTTCAGCCAAAAAAAAAAAAATAAAATTAAATCTCAAATTTGCATTTGCATACATTTAAATGCATGCAAATGTGGTTTGAGAGTTGTAGTGGAGAGGGGGATTTAAATTTCAGCCTTTTCCTGTATCATTTCATCTTTGCAGGGTTGATTTTTAAAGTATGCTGAGTATTTCTGATGCTCACAACATGTTCACATTTTATGCTCAGACACTGTTTTCAAAATGACTTTCTGATTTTCTTTCTTACTTTCAGACTCAATTAAACCATTCGCTTTTCTTCTTTTGATGTGATTTGCTTGCTGCTTTTCTCTGGTTGGTGCAGATTGTTCGCATAATTATCGGAAGTGTAATTTCTCACCAGGAATTTCTGCTTTTAAACATGAGTTTGAGCTAATGGCTTCAACAGAAGCATATACCATCGATTAAAAACCTCATAGCTCACAGTAGGTCAGTCTTTAATGGTTTATAAGTTACTGTTTACTAAAAATGGGATTTTTACTCCTGGAACCAACCAGACTGTTGCACTCTGTAGTGTTTTTGTTCTTTTTAAACACCGTGAACTGTCAATATATGGAAAAGAATTGCATAAACATTCTTTTAAAAATGTGCCTTTTGTATTCCACCCTAAAATATAGGCTAAGCATACAGATTTGTAATGACATGAGGGTGAGTAAATAATGACGGAATTACCATTTTTGGGGCTTTTTAAAATTTTAATCTTAGAACCTACATCCAACGCTGCATATACTAGCCAACTGAGATGTTAGTTAGATTTCCCTTCAATTTTTCACATCTAAAACAAGTGCCCCATTCAATATTCCCATCTCCCTCCATTTTTCCTGAACGGCAGCCCCCTGGCGACATCCCAAGGCCGGAGTAGAAACCAAATCTGTGTGCTTACTGTACAGAGTGCCGTTTCTCTGTGACGGAGGTCTTCCTCTTTGCTGAATTGGCTCTTTCTCCTCGCATCACAGCCGTCCATTCATCGCTCTGTCGAGACACTGTAAATATGAAGAGATTTGTATTTTCCAAATCATGGATTTAAGCTGCACTATAAAGTAAACTTTCTGCTGTGTGACTGGCCAGCTATTGCGGCCCCTGGACAAGGGCCTTCTAGTAACGTTTTCTAAGCGTCATTGTTCATTTTGTATGTGGTTACTTATACATACACCCTGAAGGGTCTGTCAGGCTGTGGAGTGTTTGTTTTCAGGCCAAGTATTGAGTGATGAAGAGCGGTTCAATGAACTCCAGGCCACTGACGGTGGGTGGGCTGGCTAGTCGTTCAAGAACAGGGCTGGTTACTTAAAGGTTGTAGGCCAAATCCTGCAAGGGCTGATTCATGGATTTATTTTTTAATGGACAGACAGAAATTCAGATAACATAATCTATACACTGTGAGTTTTTCTGTGCTGGCGTATTTTTGTGGTATTATCTATTTCAGACAAAACCCTAAATGGCATATAAAAAGATGACTTGATGTGTAAATCAGTGGGCAGTTCTTGGCCAGAATTACCTGCAGTGTAGACCATACTTTATAATAATAATAATAATAATAATAATAGTGCAATCAGCTACTTTGCCAGTTCTTCAAAAATTGCATCATAAATATACTGTACTACCTTTCAAAATTTGGAGCAAGTAAGATTTTGAATGTTTTTGAAAGAAGTCTCTGTTCACCAAGGCTAAATTCAGGGCCGTCCTTAGCTGACGTGGGGCCCGGTGCGAGGTAGGGAGCGGGGCCCCCCTCGGTCCGTTCGCGACCGCGTTCCCG